CACTACAATTTGGTAAACCAACCTTATAACCTAGTTGGGCCATTGGAAGCAGCCTAATCTTAATTAGTGCTGCTCATGGCCCAACCCAAACTTGGAGGGCTCTTGTATGTTGATAGCCCACTTATTTGTTCCTATTTGGGCCTTATCATCTCTTATTGGAATTAACCTAAAATCATACCTAATCTTATATATATCCCATGCCCATTACTGTTCAAGCTTGAGAGATATTATATAGCCCCCTTTCATTTGAGAAGAAAACCGGCGGTTATTTGGCTTGCTTTGTGCTCTGCCTTCCTGCTTCGTGCTCACTGCCTTCTCCAGCGTTGATGGCTTGTAGCTATTATATCCTCCATTTCTAGTCCTTTGTAGACAGATTTAGAGCAACCGTTTGGAGCTGGTGGTGTTGGTTGTATTTTCTCTTTGTGGTGTCGATTGGAGATTCTGAGCCCGGATTCTTGGTGCAAAGTAGGCTATTATTATTCACATTTACAGTAATAGTTTACCCGATGTAAGTGTCAAGGGAGTCATTCCCTTCTGATATTATTGCATTGAGAGTTTCAGTTGTGTTGTAAATATTGTAAATATTTTCTGTTATACAGTCCTTCCTTCTTCAGTTTCCTTGGGCAGAACCTTATCCTTACCCATTTAATAACTACTAAACCAGCAACCAATTTAATAAAATTACCATACAACTGATACAAGGCCCTTGACTCTACTTGTTCTCAATACAAAATTGATTTCCAATTAAAATTTATAACAAAGTTAGAAATCGAGAATCCCCATTAATTAATAAATCACGAATTGATATTTTAACACTCCAATTTTATCCCAATTAAGTAAACATACCATTTAACTACAATAATTAACAGAAAAGCAAGCCTTAAGAAAAGAGGCAAAACAGGTCAATTTTACTAATGGCTACTGATTACTGCACCTAGTGTCACCCACAAATATTTCAGTTAGACCACCAAGACTCCAAACTGTATGGATTGTTTGATTGAAACACTTCGTAAAGTTCAAATTAAAGTTGAGTGGCCATTAATGAGATTAACCTGAGGCAAAACTCAACTCACTAATCTGATATCGTTCTATTCAGAGTCACCCTGTTTAGTATCATCTTCGGAGTTATCCGGGTCCATACCATTCTCTAGTTTACCATAAAAAATAGCCCAGATTTCCCTATTATTGGGACCACTAGTTACAGGGCAATGAAAATTGGGAAAAACATTTCTTCTTTGCAGGGATAACGAGATTTGAATACCCAAAAAATTGAATTCTGCAATATGGAAATCACTGTCGAGAGAGACACTCAGTTTTCCTTCCAGCTTCTCCTAGCCGCCCAACTCCCCGTAACACGTGGACGCCTCTCTTGTCGACGACTTCCATCTTGGTAGTGGAAGAAAATGGTGGATTTGAATGAAAGAACGAGAAAAGAGAGGAAAATGGTGGATGAGAGGCGGATGCGAGATTAGGGCTAACGTTGATTGGACTAAATAATGGACTTCTCTTTTCGCAACGTTTAAAAAACTTTGCAAAATGTGAGACTTTTCGCAATATTTAACAAACGTTGTGAAAAGTCACTTTTTGCAACGCTTATTTAAAAAATGTTGTCACAGACCCCTTTAACAACATTCACTCACCCAAACGTTGCAACATTCACTCACCCAAAAACCCATTTTTCTTGTAGCGGTCATAACTTGGCCAAAAAAAGTATTGCAGCGAGATTTTCAACAAGTTAATTTAATTTTATTTTTTCAACAGCAATCACAAACATCATTAATTTTGTGGTGTGATCCAAATTCCATATTATTTGGTATTTGGTTGATTGGAGGAAGTCTAAAATATCTGGGTTTGCATAGTTCTAATATGATTGAAAAACAAATTTCAATAATAATTAGGAGTTTGGCTTGAAAGAGGATTCTTGGATGGCTAAAGGCATATTTTGGATTCCTTCTCCATCTTGAACTCAAATAAAAGGTTTATATATATCCACATTATATCTCCATAATACAATATTCATATATTATTCTTTACATCTTCAACAACATATTGAGAGATTGAGAGTTTAGATTTCTATTGAGATTATTAAAATCTTGATATTTTAAACACAAAACTATTGATTATAGTGGATTGCTCTCCCCTGCCCATGGTTTTTTCCCGAATTGGGTTTCCAAGTAAATTCTTGTGTTCTTGTTTTCTTCTTCTTTATTTCATCATCATTATTATCTTTCGATCTGTTTCATAACAAATGGTATCAGAGTGCACTATGTTGATTGTTCTGCAGGCGACAATGAAGTATGACATTTCACATTATGGCAAGTGAAGATGCGAGCGGTGTTGGTGCAGATGTATTTGGAGGAAGCCTTGCTTGGTTTTGATAGGATGCCTGCTACCTGGACTCTTGATGAAAAGCGGTGTAGGGATCGGAAAAGCCCAATCTCAAATTCATGTACATCTCTTGAATCAAATTCTTCAAGATGTTCTTAAGGAGAAAACTGTAGCTGCATTGTGGTTGAAGTTGGAGCAACTTTGCATGATAAAAAGCTTGTCCAGTGAGCTACACTTGAAACAGCGTTCGTATTCTCATTAGATGTCGAAGGTATGTCATTCTCCATAACTATGTTCAAAGAAATCGCGGCTGATTTGTAGACATTAGGAATACTATTCTCTATAGTCGGGATACTCTCACCGTGGAAGAGGTCTATGATGCTTTACTATCTAAGGAGAAGATGATACATCTTGCTGGAGGATCTGGAAATCATACTGAAGGCATTGGTTGTGCGTGGGATGAATCAAGATAGGAATCTCGGTAGAAATATGAGGGGCATGTCGAAGTCTAGACATGTTGAGAAGACATGCCATTATTACAAAAAGAATGGGGCATATTAGAGTTGATTGGTTTGCCTTGAAAAATAGAAATAAAGCTGCTAGTGCTATGGAGAATGGGAAACAACATGGTAATACAGCGAATGCTGATGTTGTGGAGGATAAGCAAAGTGGTGGAGAACTTATTGTGATTTCTAACGGAGATACTAAATCTAGTGATGAATATGTTCTTGACTCGACTTGTACTTTTTTTATGTGTCCTAACAGGGATTGATTTTCTACCTATGAAGAAGTTTCGAGAGGTGCTGTGAATATGGAAAACAACGTACCTTGTAAGATTGCTGGAGTTGGTACAGTTAGAATCAGGATGTTCGATGGAGTTGTCAGAACACTTACAGATGTAAGATATGTCTCAGAACTGAAGTTGAATCTCATATCTTTGAGTACACTTGACTCAAAGAACTGCAGATACATCGGTAAAGGTGGAGTTTTGAAGGTGAGCAAGGGTGCTTTTGTTGTCATGAAGGGGCATAAAAACTCTATACAACTGTACATTTTGCATGGTTCCTTAGTGATTGGGGATGCAGCCGTTTCTACTTTTTCTTTGACGGATGATGAAGTTACAAAACTTTGGCATATGAGTGAGAATATGATGAGACTTCTTGATGGGTAGAAGACCAGCAAATTGAATTTTGTGAGCATTGTGCCTTTGGGAAATAGAAGAGAGTCAGATTCACTAAAGGAAGACACAACACGAAGGGAACACTTGAATATATCCATTCATATCTTTAGGGACCAGCC